GGGTGTGTGTGTGTGTGTGTGTGTGTGTGTGTGTGTGTGTGTGTGTGTGTGTAAGAGAGTGTGTGTGTGTGTGTGTGTGTGTGAAAGAGAGTGTGTGTGTGTGTGTGTGTGTGAGAGAGAGAGTGTGTGTGTGTGAGAGAGAGAGAGAGAGAGTGTGTGTGTGTGTGTGAGAGAGAGAGAGAGTGTGTGTGTGTGTGTGTGTGTGTGTGTGTGTGTGTGTGTGTGTGTGAAAGAGAGTGTGTGTATGTGTGTGTGTGAGAGAGAGAGAGTGTGTGTGTGTGTGTGTGAGAGAGAGAGAGAGAGAGAGTGTGTGTGTGTGTGTGTGTGTGTGTGTGTGTGTGTGCACGTGCACACATGTGTGTACGTGTGTGCCTTTGTGTGTGTGTGTATCTACGTGTGCGTGTCCGTGACTGCGGGTTATCCACTCTGTTGCACTCTGCTTAAGCGGCGCTCTCGTGGGCTAGCATGCAATGTTATGACTTCAGTGTTTAGTTTCAGGCAAGGCAATGAAGGAATTCAATCTCTCTCTCTCTCTTCTGGACCCTGCCTATTTCACCAGTCTCTTTAATTCAGCTCAGCAAGCCACATTTAATGCAAGAGTCTAACTCACTGGTCCATAAATTCAGCAGGAAATTCTTTAAAAAAAACAACCTCAAACTTCCCCCGGTGGCTACTGATGCTTCTGCCCTTCTAATTATTGCAGTGTTTGAGAACCTGCAGCTGATTTATGGTCCAGTAAGTTAATGCCTCACATTTCACTTATATCAACCATAGGTCTAAAGCAGTTATTCTCATTCCATTTAACAATGAGGGGGACCACATGCAAGCTTATCTGTAACTTAGGACAAAGATGTTTCTGTTGTCTTGCCATAAAAAGTTGTTTATCAGCTAATTCTGAAGGAATCGATTTTCCTTCCTCTGATCAATTATATGACTGGTGGACATCTGCAGAATGCTATGGGAATTAGGTCATATGAGGCAAAGCCCCTGGGCCTGCCAATGCTTAGGAAGAAGCATGAAAAATAACTAGTATTTCATAACAGACTGCAATTAAGATTAGAGACAGCAGCATATTTCAGTGCAAACAAATCTTTGACATTATCTGACATTAACAAGGCCTATGATTAATGCTGCAACTAATTACAGCTTATGAGGTGCGCAAGTTATCATATTTATCATATTTCCAGTTTCCTCTTTCTGCCCACTTGTACCGGAATATAAAAACTGTGACTGGTTGTGCTCTGTGATGTCAAAATTCAGTTCGCTTGAGATATAATGAAAATATGGGTTATCAGGTTTGTAAGGACTCCTTAAAATAATCTCCATTGATGAACAGAGATGAGTTGTTCCATTTTTCCATGTTAATTCCTGCGGGAGAGGTAAAAATCTCCTGACCCTTCCCCAGCACCCTATTTGTGAAACCCTCCCAGGATATAGAGGAGTTAGCGGCACATTTTTGCAAGACATTTAAAAAAAGATCTTAATGGTTAACCATTTTTGTCATATTGGGCTTACTTACACAGAACTGTACACACAAGCCTGACATAAAGCTGCATGTTTTTGTCCTTTGCACAACAACTGACACACATCTCTGACATCAATTAGAAGTGCAAATTACACCATAGCAGTAGCCGACCCCGTGGGAAACACATCATCATTATGTATGTTGAAAACAGCTGAAAACTTGAAAACAAGCTGTTATGTTTGAAGAAATGAAGGTCAAAAGTTATACGTCATAAGGTCACACTTGCTGTGTGCAAGTATGAGTCGGTTACATTCTTGTGTTTTATGTTTGAAAGCGGGGGCACCTTTTTCACTGAGTTTACTCTCACAGTGATCCTTCACCCTAACAAGTGTGCACTGCAAGCTTACTCTTGCTTTGCATTTTATCTGAAACACTGCCACCGAATCTCACAGTACAGATGCCATTTACCACGCTTTAAAGTACAATCCCTGTATATTTCCGAGGCCTTCATAAAGTACGCATAACATGCTCATAAGCATGGCATTGCTACTTTATAAAGCATTCATAAACAGCCCCGCTGCTTTATGCTGGCTGATACAGTGTTTTAGCATGTATTGAAACCATGCACTTGAAAGTATGTAATATATCACTCTATGTCAGCTGTCATGCAGTGTGGTGTAGTGGTAAGAAGCAGGGCTTGTAACTGAAAGGTTTGATTCCCCACTGGGGCACTGCTGTTGTAGCCCTTGGGCAAGGTACTTAACCCTGAATTGCTTCAGTAAATATCCAGGCAAATAAATGGATAACACTGCAACCTATATAAAGTCTCTCTGGATAACAGCATCTAAGTGACAATAATGTAATGTCATGAAGCACAACATTCACTTCCAACTCATATGAAGTGGTAACACCGTGCTCATTAAGGTGTAATATCTGCTTTATGAAGGTCTTATAAAGTTAATCCAAATATAAAGACTGATCCTCTGCATTTTGCATGTACAGTACAGTATTCAGCAACACATCCTCAGCCCCAGGCAGTGTAGCATAGTGGTTAAGGAGCAGGACTTGTACCCAAAAGGTTGCCGGTTCGATTCCTTGCTGGGGCACTCCTGCTGTACCCTTGGGCAAGGTTCTTAACTCACAATTGCCTTAGTAAATAGCCAGCTGTATAAATGGATAACATTATAAAAAAAAAGTGTAACTGATGTAAGTCATTCTGGATAAAAGCACCTGCTAAATGCCAATAATGTAAAAATAATCCTTGACGAACAGTTTAAATGTAAGTGATGAATCACAGCAAAGAGGCAGGGATGTGGGAGATCAGACAGCAGGCACAGAAACACTCCTAATGTGGAGCATAATGTCCTCATGACCCAGTGTACCCCCTGCTAGCCCTGGCACAGATGTTTCTGGAAAAAACCCCATCCCCCGATTCAGTACGTGACCCGGAATAGAGATCTGCAGATCCAGAGGCTCTGACAGTCACCGAGCGGCAGAGGTGAGGGTCACCTTCTCTGCACCCCTGTCCCTCCACCCACCCCACTGCCCCCCGGCAGCAAACCCCCCCCCCCCCCAGCATCTGGGAAGATTCCTTCCTGCCACGCCGGGGGGGGAATGCAGAAGCTGGCATGCAGCGGGATTGGAGGTCATTGGGCGGCAGTGGCCCACGGGCGTGTGACCTCAGCAGCACTGTGCCGGAGCTGGAGGGCAACCCCCCATCCCCCACTCCCATGGACGGCCACGCCCGACTCGGACAGCAGGAACCCCAGCGGTATTGGGTAGGTCATGTGTGCTACACCCTGTATCCACACAAGCACACGTGCACACACACACATCACACACGCAGACACACACCCATACATGGACAAATATGCACACACACTCATGCATACATGCACTTACACACTTACAAAACACACACACAAGCACACACATACACACACATACATACAGAAATACATACATGCGCTTACACAACCACACACTTCACACTGTACTCTTTGCCGTTTACATAACACCAAACACGCAACTCTGATGTTAAATACGTACTAGGCTTCAATTATTAACTATTTGCATTGTCAGCATGACTTACACAACGTCCATACCATCCATTAAGGCAGCTGGATATTTACTGAAAACACTTTACTTAAAGCCTGTGCCTTGTCACAGCGTGCCTCCCGCCCCCCCCGGGAGGCCCTGGCTGCCCCCCACCCCCGATTATACAGCGGATCTCTTAAAAGCAACAGCACATCGCTCCTCCAGCTGCACTTCCACATCAATCACCAGCGCAAATTACAAAGCAGCCAAACGCGTGGGGAAAGCGCGCCAGTTCCGTTCGCTTTGCCTCGAAAGCAGTTGTTTTGTGTGTTAAAGCGCTGCCTGCTGTGGAGTAGAAGCGGCTGGTTTTACCAGAACGCTGCATCTGCAGGCCAGCGAACCGCGGCCTCCTCAAAGGCTGGAGCCCGGCTGTCGGGGGCCAGGTGTTTTCGGGGGGGAGGGGTTTTCTGGGGCTGGAGCCGGTCCCGAGGCAGAGGTGACCACCAGCGGTCCCAGGCCCGGTGCCGGGAACAAAGCAGGGGACTGTACCTGAACTGAATTCCACACCGGATGAACCGAAAACATCGAGGAGTCACACTGTAATCTTTAACGCTCTGTGATTCTCCTCGGATAAGGGCTTCTCCCATGTAAATAAATGGTGTGTCTGTGTCTGTGTGTGTGTGTGTGTGTGTGTGTGTGTGTGTATGTGTTAGTGTGTGTGTGTATGTGTGTATATGTGTTAGCGTGTGTGTGAGCGAGTAAGTGCATGCCTGTGTGTGTGTGTGTGTGTGTGTGTGTGTGTGTGTGTCTCTGTGTGTGTGTATGATTTTATCTGCATTATTATTGAGCTCAGGTTGCAGCGGGAGTTAACCACCTTGGCAGGGAGCCCGTTTAACCCCCCCAGTCACACATTGTTCGAAGTCACAGAGACAGAGACACTTACTCCCCCTGCTGGACAGAGAGCAGGGAACAGAGATCTCCCTCGTCTTTTCAACAAGCATCTGAAGGGCCCTGGAGCAGCAGCGTGACCTGGTGTCCTGGCCTGGAAAGAAGGGCACGCGGGTCCCAATCCCGCAGAAGACACTACTGCACCACTGCACAACTACCCCAACTACTCTTCCAAAAGCAGATAAACGGCTGCCGCACTCTTACAGTGTGCAAATGCAATTGTGGAATGTTGCCCTGGATACAGGCTTCTGCAGAAGAAAGGAATATTGTGTCTTCCTTTATGCTGCAGTCTCAACCAGCACTGAAGAGGCAAGGTTTATGTATCATTTCTGTACCATGAGGGGTAAAAGCACGGCTTCCAGTAGCTTCTAGTAGGGGGAAAAAGAGGCAGACAAAGAGAGAGGTTCACACCGAAGCAACTGTGCTACCCGTTACATTCTTTTGCATCTTATCCAGAACAACTTACACAGTTTACAATTTATCCATTTTTCAGCTGGATACTTACTGAGGCAGTTCCAGGTTAAGTGCCTTGCCCAAGGGTACAACAGCAGTGCACCGGCACGGAATCAAACCAGCGACCTTTCGGTTACGAGCCCTGCTGCTTACCACTACAACACACTGCTGCCCTCCCCGCTATCCCGCGACCGAGGAGCTGTGCTCCGTCACCGGAGCCCGTACGACGCTCTGTGGTTTAAGCCGAGCCGACGGAGCTCCTGCCCTCTGCGGACATGGCACAGACGGGAGAGAAGGTTTCCGGCGAGGTTCCGGCTGCAACGCCCTGAGAGCACGGCTCGTTTTAAGAGAGATTAATCAGCCGTCGCTCCCGGGAGGGACAAGCAGAGTCTGCGTCTGCGGGAAAAGGAAAATCATTTGTTCCGCTGTCAGGAGGAGCCCGACGGGGCTCAGGGGAGAAATGCACACTGCTTGGCAATGGGGCCGTTGTCAACCTGTGGCATCTAGTTTGATAATAACACGCGTATCGTGACAAAATCCCGTCAGCCAATTTTAGGCTTTTTTTGTAGTTTTAAACAGAATGTTATTTCCACTCTGGCTGATAGGAATAGTTCAACAGCCGCCTGACGGTTCCGCATTACTGCGTCGGTATCAGCGGCCTCTCTTTCTCATTCCCACAATCTCACATCTTTTGATAGCCATGGGGTTTGTCACAAAACTAACACTGCAGCGAGCTGGTAGCCGAAAGAGCTCGTCCACATGCCGCTGGGTGCATTTTGGTGATGGTGAAATCCCTTGCTCAAATGATCACCAAATTAAAATACCTCCAAGTCTTTAACATTTCATACTGGAGTCTTGAGAGGGCCCCAGTGACTGTGGTTCAAATCATGAGCCGCCAACACCTGCTGATGGAAACTGATAGCAATCGGCGCGTTAAAACACACAGGCAGCCAGATCTGAGGCTTTTTACAGGAATCTGGGACGGCCAAACGAATCCAGGTCTTTGGGACACTGGGTGCCGCACGTCTACACTCGAACGTTCACGCCAAGGGCACCTCGCTGGACGGCCGCCAACCCGCCCGACCCAGCTGCAGCGACGTGGACGCCAGCCCCCCGGGGAAACTGCGCGGCGCTAACAGGCTGAAAGTTCCAGAACGCTTGGCGTACATTTTTCAGAGACGTTTGATCCGCCGTCTGAAAGCGCCGCAGGGCGTTTTTTTCCTACGCAGAGGGGATGAGTGGAGAACGCGGTGCGCGGCTAAAGCTAAAAAGCGCTGTCTCCTGAGAGTGCTCCGCAGAGCGTTCCTCGGGGTGTAATCGTTCGGCTACCTCTCGCTTGAGGGCGCGCGACGCACTTTGACTGTTCCTGTTGTTGAACTCCCCTCTGTGACCTGTTTTTGATGTTTTATCCTACACCTCAGTACAGACGTAGAGTAAAATGTTACACAACGACCTTTAATTTTATTTTATCAAACCTCTGTTTTATCCAAAAGGTCCCATTGAGATACAGAATCTCCTTTGCAAGGGAGACCTGGCCAAGAGGAAGCTCAATTAAAAGCATGAACAACACAAAACGAGGACAAATATCAAATGACTAAAACATGGATATTATAAAACACAAAGTGGAAGCAAACTTGATTTAACAACACATGTAAAATGATCAAATTTTTGGCCTGAAGCAAGAACAGTTTTCAGAGGAAATGTCTGTTAACCTCCTCTTAAAATCTGCCAATGAAATGCTAATCTATGTTAGCATATTTGGAATTAAGACGAATTGAGCTGTCAGCCTTTAGGACTAATAAAGATGAATGAATAAATGAACCATTAAATACTCCTGTGGCTAAGTATTGGTCCCCATCTCTAGATCCTGACCAGCTGTTACAGGACACGGGGTAATGCAGTCATTTGATCCACATCATACCAAGCCAGAGCGGAACAAACATTACCACCTTTCAGAAAATAAAAGCAATTTACAGAAACAGAAATGAAGGTTTACTGCCTGAAAGGAAATATCTCCCTGTGTGCAAAGCAATGAATCCATTTTCATGTATATTTCTCCACCTGTATCAAAGAAAATATGTTAATGAGAATATATTTGAAGGCAGAGAATTTTCAGATTATTAGAGTGTCTTACAATACATAATATAAAAGATGGCTACTTTCTCAATTAGGCCTAGCTGCTTCCTAAAATCAGCTGTGCTGACTTTCACACACTCCACAGAGGAGAGAGCACTGAAACTTGCAGTAACTCTTGGATGAGCACCCAGCTCAATCAGCTGCTTGTGAAGTGCGTCTAATTCCTTTCCACTTATAATCATGATGCAAACAGAGGAATGGTGAGTAATGTCGTCTGTTGCATAATTATAGGAGTTTTTATGTTTGCTTGTGTGGTTAGTTATTCAGTTTAGAGGGATTTCCATCAAACACACTCTCTGTAAATATGGATATATTCAAATATGGAGCTCATTAGGCAGAGAGCTGTATCATGCAGGCTAGTTTCCCCCAATGATTTCTACTGAAATATTTTTTTTACCTCAGAAAATTGCTACACTGCACTATGGCCCCATTGGAGTTGATGGACATCTACAGCCTACAGAGGGGTCAACACAATCAAAGTGCAGAGCAGTTTGAATTTAATTTTCAATAATTCGTTTAAGTCAGGGACACTTTAAAGTCACCACACGCAAAGTGTTGAGCCATTTCTTTAGTTATAGACATTTCATCCATATAAATGTTTTGGGGATAAAAGTAATCAAGCAAGCTGAAAAAAAAAACAAACGTCCATTAATCTGCATGTGCTTTACTGGATTAATATTGCTTAGCGAGGGCTGCACTATTAGCAGCCCGTAGCGCCTGTTACTTCCCCTACAGCGTGTCTCCTCTCTCAGCGTCGGGGGGTCAAACCTTCAGCTAGGGTCACACAGAGATGTTTGTTAACATGGCCATTTAATCTCTTTGACTTCTCAGCTGCTACAGCAGCTGGCAGCAAATACTGAACCACCGAAACTCCTCAAAGGGCCCCCCTCTGTCCCAGCGATGTCTTCCACACTAATGCGCCCATGCAGAGTAGTGCTTATGGTCCCTGTGCAGAGAGGTGAGGGGTCAAACCCCAGACGGGAGTGCTGCTGTATCCTTTATCGAGGTGCTTAACCTAACCCACACACCACTGTGTGAACAGGTTATGTGTACAAAGACTGTGCAAGTCTCTCCTGTAAAAGTAAAATAAATAATGTAATGTAGTGTAATGATGCTTAATTGAGAAACACTGTTACGGAGGGACAGTTGGCTGCAAATCCAAGCCAGCCACCTTCTCTCTACATCTGGAGAGCTGCAGCCTCTTCTCTTTTCTATTTCCTTTTTAAACTCTTTCTCTTCAGCCCCCCATTGAGAATCTAAATGAAATCATCTTCAGCTTCATCGCTGAAATGAGTACGGCACAGTTCTTCCACTGTAGGCTTCAAACTGTAAGTGCTGAGATACTGCCAGCAAGTGCTCTGCAACTCTGAGAAATACTGTAACTGCACTTACTGTGTAACTGAATAGGCAGGTTATATACTAAAAAATATAGTATTGCCCACTATTTAGTTAAAATACAAACACTGGCCAAAAAAGGGATAAACATTTTAAGGTGGTGGAGAGTGTGTGCAGGGTGCAGGAGGGAAAGGAAAAATCAAATGTGTTTTAGTAAATTCCTCATTTTAGAGGGAGAAATGATGTATAATTCCAGTTACACATTGGGTAAACACTTTTACATGTGTATACCGATGTGAGCATACGTAAGTTGAAAAATACTGCAAGACACACACACAAAGCCAAACAAAACTGAACTAAAGTAACGAGTAATTACCGAGATGCGACACAATACCATGACCTTTCTGGGGACCTTAATAATTGCTCTAGCCAACAAATTAATTTGGTTACATAAGGTTTGTTTATTGTTATCATTGTACAAGAAGAATCAGACGAAGGGCGGGGGGGTGGAATGCGCGATGTTGCTACTATTTAACATGCCTCATTCTACATTCTGGTTTTTTAGGTCCCCTCCTTTTTGTCCTGCGTTCTTTCTGTGTAATTAATGGACTGTTAGGTCAGCCTTCCGGTGTCATAAAGTCCTGGAGAAAATTTAAGTCCTCTTACTGCAGGTCTGAACGGGAGTATGGACTGATGTGAACCCAGATGAAATATGTGAATAAAAAATACGCATAGTGGGCAAGACGCCTAATTCTATAACTCAGCTGCTACCCCGGCACATAGCTAAATATCAGAATAATTATTAGAATAACTTCCCAGTCAAGCCATGAAAACGGCAATTCAGAGGGATGAAATAGGTTGACAGATGGTTATATTGGCAGTAAAAAAAATAAAAAACGCAGTCCTTTCTGTTTGTTCTCAATATATCTATTTTACTCAATAAATGACGCCAACACAGACACGGTACTGTACCGGTTACATTTTAATACCGGAGGTGTTATGACGATGGGTACCAGAATGAAATTGCAACATAAACGTGCGCTCGTGGCATGCCAGCATATTGCAATGGCCAAATCTATGTCCTAGATAAAATCACGCAGCATTTCTGATGTAGTTATCCAGTGAAGTTGCGATAGAAGGAAAGAACATATGATATTAACGACAATTCTTACCTTTTGTCACCTCACGACTCAGAAGGAGAGGGTGCTTTGGCTGTTCCTCTTTATGGCTACTGACTCCGTTCACCGGCTTCACGCAGTGGGGGACTCTCGTCCTCCCGGTAAATTATTGATTCAAAAATAAGGCAGAATATTCACAGAAAATGGCAGGAGCGCGAGAATGCATCGTTTATGGGAAGCAATCATTTTCGTCTTCGCTTCGTCCCACCACTGTCGCAGTCGCGAGATCGGAGCTGTCATCATCATCGCGATGAGACACCTCGTGCGCAAACGAGTCGGTCAAGTCGCTCCGAACCGCTTTTCTTCAAATTGTCAATGCTCTCGGGGACGCGCTCGCGAGCGCGCACACAAACTGGCACACACACATACACACACACAAATGGCATGCGCGCTCACACATGCACATCTTCATAGACACACATGAAGCAGATGAGACACAATCGCTCTGGCTGAGACGTGACTTTATAAAATAGTCTGTTTGAGACGTTCTATTATTTTTAACATATTGTGTATTTTACTGC